ATCATGCATTGCTTTGGTCAACAGGACTTGCTCAGGGGCCAAAAATGTCTGCAGATACTGTACATTTCCATTTCGCCAAAAGCAAAAAATCGAAAATACTTTTAACCTCTCTCTCTCTCTCTTTTTTTTTGTCAGTTGTGGGGCTTGAACTCTGGGCCTGAATGCTGTCCCTCAGCTCTTCAGCTCAAGGTGAGTGCTCTACTGCTTGAGCCACAACACCACTTCCTACTTTTAATCTCTTACACATGGTTTTCCTTTTTCTGACAGTCTCTCCTGCTCCTTCCCCTTTCAGACTCAGGGCTAGGCCTTAAAGCATTGAGAGAAAGCTGGAGGGTGACTATGGTTTCTCCTGAAGAACCGAGCTCCTGTCTGCTGAGGGGTCAGGATCCAAAGAGTAGATACTTTACGGGCCATTGTGTCTGGGTTATGACTACTGAACTGTGATACTGCAGCACAAAGGCAGCCAGATAGGATACATGACCTATCAACTACCAAAGCTCCATTCGTCAGCATGGTATGGGCAGTGGGCTGCCAAGGCCCTCGGTCTGGGGCACATATTCTGTTACTAGGGTTATAGAAGACATAGACAAGAGGTACTCTCCCATGTGTGTGTGCGTGCGCATGCTCTAACTCTGGGGCTTGAACTCAGGGCCTAGGCACTGTCTTTTAGCCTTTTTTTTTTTTTTTGCTGAAGGCTAGTGTTCTACCACGTTAGCCACAGCTCTACTTCTTTTTGGTGCTTGATTGGATTTAACAGTCTCTGGATGTGTCTTTCTAGGTTGGCTTCAAAGCATGATCTTCAGATCTCGGCTACCTTCTAAGGTGTTAGAATTACAGGTATGAGCCACCCATCCCTGGCTAAGATTTATTACTCTCTTAACAATAGAACTAATGATTCTCCAAAGACTCAAATGAAGCTTGGTTTCCTGAATCAGGTGGAAATAAAGGGAAACTCTGGTGATTGTGCAAGAAATCCAACCTCAAGGAAAGAACACAGACGTGCTATGAATGTGTGGCAAAGGAACGCACTGTGGTTTTCTACTAAAGAAATCTGAGATGAGACACAAACACTGTGGGAAAGTGGCCCCTGCCCAGAGCCTCCCCTATGCCTCTCAGTTACACTTTCCTGGGTTGAAGCACTGGGCTTTGCAAAGAGCCAGGGCCCTGCATGGAAACTATACCCTCCCTCTGCCAGCTCTGACATTCCCCCTGTGACCCCTGGCCTTCTGCGGGGCACAATGCACAGCTCCAGGCTACATTTTCCCCAGCACACTCAGTGCTGAGTGGATGAGATTCTCTGTCACCCAGCACAGTGGTGGCTTGTTCAGACTCAGCACAATCCGCCAAGAACCCCAACCCGCCTGGACAAGAGGAACATTCAACCATTTGTGAGTTGGAGGCTCAATTCATTTGTCTTTTACGTAATTGCATTTTTTTTCCATAAGGAGAGCACTTGGCTATGAGTGAAGTCTTTCTATAAGCATATTGTTTGCTAGACGGCACCAGAAAGGTCTAAATCAGTACCCTCCAAATGAGCCATTTCAACTGAAAATAGATCTGGCAATTCATTACGCAATTCCAGATTTTTTTATGCTCTTTTCCTGTACTCATCTAATTTCAGATGCCATTTCTTGTCCTTGCTGATCTTTGGACCTTGTCTTTCAAGTTCTAATCCTCCCTTTGACAAGTCCTCTCCAATCCAGAGTCCCCATTTTGTCTCCTATGGTGCCCTTTCTCTGCCCTCTCCACCCTCACAGCCAGGCTGGGTCCTGCTCCCATCCCATGTAGTCTGCCCAAGGCCTTCAGGCCAATGATGAATCCCCCATTGTTAGCTCAGTTCTCTCTGTTTGGATACACTCTAGGTTGAACTTCCTCTGGGCCAATGGCCTATGGGGGTTGAGAGCCTGCCTTAGGCACTGTTGGACATTTATCACCCTTGCCTCCTGGGTGCCAGGGGCCTGAAGCATCAGCCCATCATGGTGACAACTTGAATGCTCCAAAGCTCCAAACTCCCAAAGGCCCTGCCCCGGTCAGCCAGTGTGAACACAGGAGAGGTCATGGAGACCTTCCCATCCAAGACAGGCAGGCTTTCATAACTTCAAACTGCCGGTTACCAAGTAGGGCCCATACCTTGATGTTAGATTGTAACAATTAAGAGGAAAGGGGTTTGCTGGTCCTCACTTAAGAAAAAAAAAAGTGAAGTTGAAAAGATAGCATAATTTAGTAGAGAAGCAAGAGGAGAGGACCCTACATCTAGAACCTTTCCATATCTCTGGGGCATCTGTCCTTGAACCCCAAGCCTTAGAGAAGCCTATGATATTACCAAAGGGCTTGAAACTGGTTTCTGTTTGTTGTTGTTGTGTTTGTTTTTTACTGGTTAGAGGTATTTGGAGGGATATTATAACTCAGATCATGAGGACCATGCATATAAAAAGATCTGAGACTATATCTTAACAGGCTGATTCTACATCTGTTTAAGGACTGGATTCAGAACAACTGCTTTGTGTGAGCTGGGGTGGGCTGGGCCAGTGAGCAGGGCCTCTGTGCTCTCCATGCTAGAACCCAGCACAGGCCCAGGACCTGCTCTCTGCTGAGGGATCTCAGGACCTGCTCTGTGCTGGGAGATCCCCATCTGCCACCTGTCTGCTGCCCTGTGCCTGCAGAGACCCAGGCAGCACAATGGGAACAACACAGAGCCTGAAGAATCGTTGTCATTCCTTCACAACTAAAGTCTCATGAGCCTAAAGAGAGAAAAAGGAAACACTGAAGGGAGAAGCAGAGGAATGGACATGGCAAATTTGAACACTTTTTCTGGCAGAATACTTTTGGTCTTGTGCTGCCTGCTGGTTATCATTTTCAAGTGTGATAGGCTGACTTTTTCTCTAGTTAAAAATGACCAGAAAGTTGGCGAACATCCATGTAATGAATGCACCTCAGTCTTCAAAGTTTCTGAAACAAGATCTAACTTTTGACCTAAACAAGTTGACACTGGGGTCCATAAGCCACACTGTCTCTAGCAGATGTAGAGGCCAAAGTTTAAAGGAAAAGAACAATTTCCCTGATTGACAGCCTCCAGGCAGCAGCTTTTCATGTGAACAAAGCTAAGATGTCTGACCTTCTGGTCAGACAGCTCTGGAAACCCAGGCCTTTCTGCCAATGTCACAAGAGACAGAACCAGGATGTAAGTGAGGATGAGCACTTAACTGGAGAAAAACGGGACAAAAGCCATCACAGGATTGAGAAGTCAAACAGAATAGAGATAGGGTCTGGGTTGTATTTTAGGAAGTGTTTTCTTTTGGGAGACATATCACTTAGAGCAATGGATCCACTGAATGACGCGATCTTGTTGTGAAAGTGAGATGTCAAACCTCACTCAGAACCTGCCTCTGTACAGTACAAACCCTCCTTGCTCTGCCACAACTGAGAATACACATCACACACAACTTTCTCTCATCTTGCCAACTGCTACCAGTTTTCTTGAAGTTAAAGATCACCGCCTCTAGATTATACAGGGACTAATTAATGAGTTGCTCACTTGAAGAGTACTGTTATTAATCATTGCATCCAAAAGAGCAAAAAAGACAGTAAATTTAGAGTACCACAGCAAACTACAAATTCATATATGCAATGAAGAAAATCAAACAAAGAGTACTGAAGAAATTAGGTGCGGGGGTGTGGTCGCGCACACCTGTAATCCTAGCAGGTGATGAGGAAGATTACAATTTGTGGGCAGCCTGGGCAAAAAGTTAGTGAGACCCCAACTCTACCACTCCGGGTGTCTTAGAGCACATTTTTAGTCCCAGCTAAGTGGAAGGGGGAAGATCAGGGTCTGAAGCCTGCCCTGGTAAAAAATGCGAGGCCTTATCTGAAAAGTAACGAAAGCAAAAAGGGCTGGGAGTGAGACTCAAATCAACTCAAGTGGTAGAGTGCTTGCACGAGGCCCTCAGTTCCAACACCATCACCACAAAAACAAACATATTAAATCTTTGCCACAATTGCTTTTAAGATGTGAAAAACAGTATTCCAGGTTAGTAAATTAAAAAAAAAAAAGTTGCAGTGGTATAAGAATTAAGCCATGCTTACAGTTCATACATCCTGGTAAGGTTTTATGTGGATGTATGCTGGTCTAGGCGTTAACTCAGGGCCTGGGTGCTCTCCTTGAGCTTTTTTGGTGAAGCTCTCACTTGAGTCCTAGCTCTACTTCCTCCAGGCTTTTTTGGTAATAATTAGCGATCAGGATCTCTTGGGACTTTTCTGCTCTGATTCCTCAGATCTCAGCCTCCCGAGTAGTTAGGATTATAGGCATGAACCACTGGCAACCTGCCCGGTTTGGTGTTTTTGAGACAGGATCTCACTATGCAACTCAGGATAGCCCCAAACCCCTGATCCTCCTGTCTCACACTCCCAAATGCTGGGATTATAGAAACAGACCACAACATCACATATTTGCTAAGAAACTGTGTAGTTCTTGCAGTCTAAGTGAGAATCTGGGCGTAACAAACTTGGAGCTCCGGCTATGTATGTCCTTTGTCATGCATGAAAACCCCACCACAGCCCATCCGGCTCTCACTGCTGTGGGCCTCACGTTAATGAATGAATGCATGCCAACCGCTCAGAGCCTGCCCAAACACACCAGAATCCAACAGCGTTACTAGAGCAGCCATTCCTTTCTGCTGTACTGCCAAGCCACAAAATACTGTTCTGGGGGGCAGAGATCAAATTCCAGCAATGCTCTGCTCATATTTTCCTACTATGCGTAAAAGCACTTAGAAAAGCAACTGCGTAGTACTTCTTTGGGGTGTGGTATGCACGTATACAAAGCAAACATGACCAGAATCTGTGGCTGGAGAATAAAGCTCATGTCCAATTTCTGCTACCTGTACTTAGCCCTGAGATCATGAATATTCTAAGTAATTTTAACCGAACACTGGAGTTTGCAAAGAGCCCCTGCAGTCCTCCATTCCCTCCCCGTTAGTCTCAGGCAGAAGCAGCTTGCTCACCTCGGCACTCCACATCGGGGTCTCCCCAGAAGAGCTCCTGGCACTCGCTGCAGGTGCGGCCACCAAAGCCTGGCATGCACTGGCACTGCCCTGAGAACTGCAGCCAAAACACAGAGCAAGATCAGGGCAGAGGTCAGTGGCCATTTACTCCCCTCCTTGCCAGGTAGAAGTGAGACTGACCCACTAGCCTGCAGGACTTCCGTGTGCCACCAGGGGCCAGAGACCTTCCTCCATACCAGTACCTGGACTAACAGGGGCCACAGCCTTAATATGTTTCCTCATTTGTTTTCCTTTGATGCCACTTCTGGGGCTTGAACTCAGGGTCTTGTGCTCTCACTTGGCCTTTTTGCTCAAGGCTGGTCCTCTACCACCCGAGTCACACCTTCACTTATAGTTAATGGGTGATAAGTCACTTGTAGTTTTATTAGCTGGGACTGGCTTTGAAGCTGATTCTCAGATCTCAATCTCCCAGAGGTGCTGGGATGAGCCACTGGCACCCTGCTAGTTCTATTTTTAAAATCTCACAGTTAAACAGCAATCCCAGGCCACCTCTGGCAAACCCCACCCCACTTAAAGAGCATTTTTTTTTTTGGTAGTGGGGCTTATCTCTGGGCCTGGGCGCTGTCCCTCAGCTCTTCAGCTCAAGGCGAGTCCTCTACCACTTGAGCTACAGCGCCACTTCCGGTTTTCTGGTGGTTTATTGGAGATATGAGTCTCACAGAATTTCCTGCCTGGGCTGGCTTTGAATGATCCTCAGATCTCAGCCTTCTGAGTAGCTAGGATTACAGGTGCGAGCCACCAGTGCCCGGCCCTTAAAGAGCATTTTTACCATCTGAGGAGTGTGAGTATGTGGTTTCTTTCAAGCTGAGTAGCTTATAAGTAAAGTCTGATTCAGGAAGACAAGGGAGAGATAAGCACTGTCCATTCTCCTGAGGATCTGCATGCAGCCACACACTATAGGAGAATGCTAGGGAGACACCAAATGAGGACTCTGCACGATGAGGTCACCCCAGCCAAGGGGACAAGATTCAGCTGACAGCTAGTCATGCCGTGCTTGCCAAGTTGTATGCTGTGCTGGCGTTTCTCCAACTGGGGCACAGCCATCTGTTGGGCTAGCTGTCACCTTACCTCATTACAAGAAGGCCCGAAGGAATGGGCAGCACTGCAGTCACACGGCTCACAGCCCTTCCCGCTGGCCAGCTGCCAGGTGTTGGGCGCACAGCGGTCACAGTTCTGCCCGATCACATTAGGAAGACACAAGCACTGGCCAGTAGCTTTGTCACACTGGCAGTCAGAACCATTACAGTGCTGCTGCACAGTGCCCAGGTCATTGCAGACACACTCTGAAAAAGAACAGCATAATTGGCTTTACTTAGGATCACACCCATGAAAAGACAGGCGTGCAGAAGTTAGCCTTACCAAGCATGTCACATATTTCTCTCCAAGAAGGGAAAAAAAAATACCACTCTTTATAACTTCTCATAACATACTAAATGATTCTGACATTTCCCAGGCGGTTCACACATTCATACAATGACAGATTTTGCCTAGGAGTATTTCAATGATAAACAGATTTAATCAACTGTTGGTGAATCATTTTAAAATCGAAGATTTAGCTGGAAATAACAGCCAAAAAAAAAAAAAATGCCAGGGGGAACTCAAATAGCCAGTGCGTTCAAACTCCAATCAGAAAGCAGCAGTAAGGAAAGTGTCAGAAGAGAGGCAGGCAGAAGCACTTTCAGTTACTAAGACTTTAAGGAATCCAGTCCTGCTGGTTGCACATTCCACATGTCTGCATAAATAAAAACAGGGGCCTGGGGGCTTTGTGTCAGCAGCAGTAAAGAAGCCTAGCTGATCTTCTGATAAGCAGAAATAATAATAAGGCCTGAAAAGAAGAATTTAGAGATATTACTTCTTTCTGTGCCTGAAGCTGTAGCCAGCACAGAAGAGGTGGTCCCCCATCCCCACCAGACCCCCAGGTCTCTAATCCCATCCAAGCAGTGGTTCGGGGAAGGAACACTTCAACACATGGCATTGCACAGCTTTTATCTTGGTGACAGTGACAATTTCCCTTCTGGATTTCTCTCCTTAGCACCAAGCCACATTTTCAGACATGAGCGTTGGCCAAAAAAGAGGATATAAGAGATTAAACAACAACAACTCAGGCTCATCTTTCATTTGCTGAAGATGACATTTTACCTCTCTGAACAAAAGCAACCCTGTGTGAAATACAGACAGGAAGATCAGACTGAAAGGGTGATGGAGGAGGGTGGAGACCAGTAAGGACTTGGTCAAATGACTAAGAAGCATCTTACTTCTGCAGTCCTGCCGGAGGGCATCGCCATAGTAGCCATGTTGGCAGAGCTGGCAGTGGTCCCCTTCTGTGTGGTACAGGCACTTGAGGCACCTTCCAGTCTCCTTGTCACAAGCTTCCGGGTCAGTGGTGTCAATGTTGTGGTGACACTGACAAGGCTGACAGGACCCTCCAATGTCTGAGGGATTGCCAAAGAATCCTGAAGCGCAGTCCTCACATCTGGAGCCTATTGTGTGAGAAGAGCCAGCACAGGACTCGCAGCTTATCTGAAAAGTTCAACTCAACAGTCTACTCTCTTCCCTCCCCAGAGGACCAGCCAGGCCTCACTTCTGTTGGTCAAACTAGGATTAACTCGAGTTAAGTGCATCGTGATGATTTGGGTCACTGCTCCTCTACGTGTGTGTAGATGGTTGTAAAAGGATACTTCACTGGATCACCCTACATCTTTTTTTCTCATTGATAATGAACTGAAGTACATCTTTTCCTTCCTCGTTGCCCCCTTTATAAAGTCTGTGTGTGACTTACCAATGTACCCAGGCTCACAAACACATGCAAGCTGCAGAGTAACAGGATCTTGATAACAGCTGTTGGCAAACTGGCGTCCGCTTTCAGGACCATCTGGACAAGGGCAAGGTCGGCAGTGATCTCCTGACCCAATGATGGGGTTGCCATAGTAACCAGCCAAGCACCTACACATCAGTTCCAGAAGAGAATAAGTCATAACCCACTTGTAAGAAACCTGTTTCTGCTGGGCACTGGTGGCTCATACCTGTAATCAATCCTAGCTACTCAAGAAGCTGAGATCTGAAAAGCAAAGCTAGCCCAGGCAGAGAAAAGTCTGTGAGAATCTTATTAGCAATTAACCACTAAAAAGCCAGAAGTGGAGGTATAGGTTTACTAGTAGAGTGCCAAACCTGAGCAAAAAAGCTAGGACCCTAGTTCTGAGTTCAAATCCTAGTTACTGGCACCAAAAGAACCGCATCCCACTCCCCACCCCCTAACAAAAAGCCCTGTTCCAAAAAGTCTTCATGCTTCCATGTGGAAATGGAAACTTTAGCTCCAGACAAAATTCCCTAGGAGACTTGTTAGAACAGACTGCTCCTTGAGGGAGGAGCCTAGGAGTATCTGGTTTATTGGATCCCAGGTGGGGCTGATGCCTGCTCTTGTGGACCTCACACTTGCAGGATCACTGCATTAGAGGGGTAGCCCTGAAGCCATGTGGTCCCTCAATCACTGTTACATAGAGGAAGAGACTCTACTGTCCCAGCAGCTGCCTACTGCCCAAAGCATTTTCTTCTGTGCTCTCTGCTTTGTCTTTGTGGACATGGCCAGTATTTGAGCCACTATGCCTGAGGGAGGGGGGACAACATAGTGGCCAGCCCATGAAAAAACTGATAGGAAATAAGAATTATGGTACACTGCTCTAATCCCAGCTACTCAGGAGGTAGAGACAGAAGGATCCCAAGTGTGAGGCTTGTCTGAGCAACATTAGAGAGACTATCTCAAAAACAAAATGGCTGGAGGCATGGCTCAAGTGGGAGGATGCAAGTGTAAGGTCCTGGGTTCAATCCCCGGTAGGTGAGATGTGCAGGGATATGGATGGCAGGGATGTCCTGTAGCTGTGTGACTTTATCTCATGTGGTTCAAAGGATATCCTACACCAACTCATCAACAGGGTCTAACACCCTCCCTTTAAGATAAAGGTCAATGGAGCTTGATGATTTGCAAAGCACACACACCAAGTCAAAATAATTCAGCTCCCAGATATTTAGCAAGGATTTTTTTTTTTGAGACAGTTTCCATATGTAGTATCCTGCCTCTGCTTCCCCAAGTGCTGGGATTATAAGTCACTGACACCACAACTGGCTAGCAAGGAATTCTTTGACCATGTCCTGCTGCTGTCTTTCCAAGATAAGTGCTAACTAGATTATTTATTCCCTATGGTGGAAGAGCCTGAAGGAACTTTGGAGATCACCTATAAACCATAGTTTCTAACTTGTCCAAGATTATAAAGCCAGTTGAAAGCAGGGGTATTTTTTTTAATGGTAGGAAGGACAAAGAAACAGAAGAAAACCATTCAGAGGGAACTATGGATGTCTTTAGTTGCAGAACTTATACAAGCACTTGTTTTCTAGCTGTGTGCTGGGGAGTCTTCTGTGACTCAGCCACTTCTATAATGGCTTTGGAGGAGTTTCTAGGAGACTTTTCTAAGTGAAATAAAACTAGAGGTCTTTAATAGAAATGGGGTGTTCATTTCCTGACTCTCCCTACACTTACTCCCTTTGGGAACAATCTAATCATACTTTCTTTTTAAAATGTATGACATGAAAACTTTGCCTGCGAATAAAGAAAAGAATAATGAGAAACTGGCTCAAACTGGATAGCAAAATTCCAAATACTTTATTTAATGAAGTATTGTTATCCAAACCTAAACTAAAAGCTTCCTTTCCCCCATCCTCTACTTTCCAGCAAGAAATCAACACCCTTTACAAAGAAAAAAATCCAAGGCCACTTGGAAGCCTTTCTCTCAGGATCTCTCAGTATGCCTAGGGTCGCCCAGCACTATGATGACTACCCTTTCCTACCCTGCTCTCTCCCCCTTTATTTATTATTTGTGTTAGTCATGGCGCTTGAACTCTGGGCCTGGGCACTGTCCCGCAGCTCTTCAGCTCAAGGCGAGTGCTCTACCACTTGAGCCAACAGTGCCACTTCCAGTTTTCTGGTCGTTAATTGGAGATAAGAGTTTCACAGACTTCCCTGCCTGGGCTGGCTCTGAACTGAGATCCTCAGATCTCAGCCTGCTGAGCAGCTAGGATTAAGGCATGAGCCACCAGCGCCTGGCTTTCTCTTCTCCTTTGGAATCTCTTTCTCTTATACTAATTCTCCACCACTCCCTGAAAGATCAACAAAGGAAAATTTATGGCAGAAAACACGATGACAGCAATATATTAATTTTCCACCTTTCACTCTTGTGTAACCATCTCCATCTTTTCTTTATACAACACGATTTTGTGGCTGGAAGGAGCCATCACCGGAACCTTAAAATTCATGACCATCACTCTAGCTTGAGTTAAAGTCATGTGTATGATTCCGGAACATCTGGAGGCCTTAAATGAATGGCAAATTCAATTCTCTTTTTCACTTGGTAAGCAACGTTAGCCTAGCTGAGGTAGTCCGTTTCAGAAGTGGCTTCTTCAAATGAAAGCCCTCAGAGTGGATTAATTCCAGAGAGAACTGGTGTGGAAAGGTGGAGACTATTATCCCCCAAAAGCAAGTCCTAACGTAAGTTTGTGTTTCTTAATTAGTTCTGAAGAGTCAGCAAATGAACTGTGTTTATTTAATGAGCGGATAAATGACTGCTAGTCACTGGAGGTGAGCGCTTTGTCCCATGCTGACTATGGATCTGACACAGACCTTCCCTAGTATTCATCAGAACTAATCAACTAGTTAACAGCACTTGTTATCTTGGCAAGGGCTCTGCCTGGGCACTTTTCTTCTTTTCATTTTTGGGAGGCTTGAATTCAGTGCCTGGCTGCTTCCCTGAGCTAGTGTTTTTTTATTCAAGGCTACTGCCCTACGATTTGAGCCACAGTTCTACTTCCCTGGCTTCTGGATGGTTAATTGGAAAGAAGAGTTTCACAGACCTTTCCTGCCCAGGCTGGCTTCAAACCTCCATGCTCAGATCTAAGCCTCCTGAGTAGATAGTATTACAGGTGTGAGCCATCAGTATTGACTTCTTGTGCACTTTTTTGTTGTTCCTAGACACTGACTGCATAAAATGTTTTGGGAAAAATAACAACAACAACAACAAAACCAACAACATGGGTGCTAGTGGCTCACACCAGTAATCCTAGCTACTCAGGAGGCTGAGATATGAGAATGGAGGTTCAATGCCAGCCCAGGCAGGAAAATCCATGAGACTCTTAACTCCAATGAACCATCAAGAAAGCTGGAAGTGAAGGCTGTGGTTCAAATGTTAGAACATCAGTCTTGTGCAAGAGAGTTCAGGGACAGTGTCTAGGCTCTGAGTTCAAGCCCTAGGACCAAAGATTGGGCAAAAAAAGGAGGAGGAGAAGGAGAGAAAAGAGGAGAAGAGGAGGAGGAGGAAGACCCACAATTTAAAAATATTAATCTCCTTTGGATTTGGTTTGTACTTGACTAAATTAGGTATTAACATTTTCATTTGAGGCCAGATATGCCAAGACAGAAACCTATGGTGAACTGCAGGATGACTCCCGAAGGACAGCCTCAGGCTGTCTGCCACATTCCAGTACAGGACAATGACATAGTTACAAGGCACTGTGTGAGCTACACATGCACTGGATAAAGGATTGTGTTCCCAGAAAAGACTGAGGTGGTCAGAAATGAATGAGAGTTGCCTAGAGCCTGAAGAGGCTCTTTTATGGTTTGCCTACTGCAGTGCTTGCTGAGCCAAAGACTACATCTCTCTCTCCCTCCATCTCTCCCTTCCTCCCTCCCTCCCTTCCTTTTTTTCCTTCTTTCCTTCCCTCCTTCCTTCTTTCCTCCCTCCCTCCCTTTCTCTCTTTCCACTGGGGGTTAAACCGAGGGCTAGGAAGTTGCACTACCAAACACTTTGAGCCACATCTCCAGCCCTTTTGTTTTAGTTATCCTGGGGCTATGGTCTCTCATTTATGCCTGTGTGGACTGGACTATGGTCTTCCCATTTTACACTTCCCACACAGTTGAAATGACAAGTGTGTGCCATGTGGTCTGGCAACTGCTTGAGAGGGTGCTTAGCTAACTTTTGGTCCAACTTTTTGTCTCAAACTGTGACTCCCCCATCTCCACCTCCCATGTAGCTGGGGTTCTAGGCATGAGCCACATGCCCAGCTCTGCTTATTCTCTGAGGTAGGATCTCACTACACAGACAAGTCTGGCCTGGAACTCACAATCCTCTGCCTCCCCAGTGCTGGGAGTAGAGGCGTGTACCTGTATGGGTGCCACATTCTGTTTTACTACTTACATACCTTTCACAGTTATGGCCCATGGTGTAGTCCTGGCAGTTGACACACTCGCCTGTCACTAAGTCACAGTCATCGGCATGGCCATTACACTGGCAGGGCTGGCAGCTGGGAAAGCCCCAGTACCCGGGTAAGCATCGGTCACACTGGCGCCCGTACACCCCGTGGAAGCACTGGCACTGGCCAGTGACAGCATCACAGAAGGCATTGACAGATCCTTGCAGATCACAGTCACAAGCTGCAGAAATAAGCAACCAAGGAACCTCCTTGAGAAACTCATTAAAGAGAGACACGTGGCTTTGTCCCCAGTTCAGGACGCTCCTGGGCTCAGAGGATCATCGGGATGCTGTACTTCCCTTGAAGTTATCCATCCTCGGTGACCTGTCCACCTCATCCAAATGCATCACGATGCTCTGGTGTACGTACCTCTGCATCCACTGGGACCAAAGCCAAAGGTTCCTGGTGCACACCTGTCGCAGGTCCTTCCAACTACATTTGGCCGGCACTGGCACTGGCCTCCGCTGGGGTCGCACACAGAACTCAAAGAACCCTGAGGGTCACATTCACAAGCTGTAGAACAAAGAGAAGTCAGACATGAGTAACCTGAAACTCCCCTCTCCAAACTGACTCATTTCCTCCCCCCTGGGCTCTCCTGATCCTTGCTCGCTCCTTTCCTACTTGGGTAGATTCAGAATTCCAGTTTCAAACAGTATGTCCCTATGCTGGGGGTGGGGGATGGGGGGGAGAGACAGGGACAGTGCTGACAGATCAAAGCATTTGGTCAAGGCAGGAGGTCATTAAAGGTTTTCTCTTCTTGCTGACAGAGCTCAAAAATCACAGGACAATAAACCAAAGCCCAGTGACCCTTAGTGGCTCTTCCGACCTTATAGAAGTTTCAGTTATTTGATGCTCTTCTGATTCTATCCAAACTCCCCACCCTACCTAGAGGCATGCTACCTCCTCATGCAATTTGCCCTGGTCACTTGTTCTTTGTATATTTTTTCTCTTTCCTTCCTTCCCTTTTCTTTCTTTCCTTCCTTTCTTTTTCCTCCCATCTCCCCCTCCCTCCCTCCCTTCTTCTTTTCCTTCTTTTTTTTTTTTCTTGCAGTACTGGGGTTTGAACTCAAGGCTTCCTATTTGTCTCACTATGTGTGCTTAGTTGGCATTCTACAACTTGAGTCACACCTTCAGCCCTGTTTTTATTGGGTTGTCTTGTTTTTAGCTGATTATGAAGTCTCATGGACGTTTCTGATCAGGCTGACTTTGAACCACAATTGTCCAGAAAGATCTCATCCTCCTGAGTAGCTAGGATTATAGATGTACATCACCAGGGCCTGGCTGTATTTCTTTTTTGTCGGTTGTGGGGCTTGAACTCTGGGCCTGGGCACTGTCCCTCAGCTCAAGGCCAGTGTTCTACCACTTGAGCCACTTCTGGCTTTTTCTGTTTATGTGGTGCTGAGGAATTGAACCCAGGGCCTCATGCATAAGAGGCAAGCACTCTACCACTGAGCCACCTTTCGAGTCCCCATATTTCTTAATGTAATGATTCCATCTTCAGTGGTGATCCATCACTAACATTTTATTTACGAAATAAAGATAAACCCTGGTGCCATCTCAAACAGAAAGATGTCTACTCTGCTAGCAGGGAGAGGCAGCCACTGCAGCTACTGATCAACACCTACCCAGACCCATCTGGTGTAGCAGGGCGGAGATGCTGAAGATGATATTTCTGCAAACATCAGTCATGGGTGTCTTCACGACGCTTCGGCTGTTCTCCAGACACCGGTATCTCTGAAAGGTCTCCCAGGCACTGTTAGTGACCTCCCCATCTCCGGAACCGCCTATGGTGAAGATGTCCAGGGATTTGCAGTACGGCATGAGAACGAGCTGCCGGGGAACACAACAGCACGGATGTTCTGATGGCAATGCACATGTCACCAGTTAAACCAAGGAAGCATGCAAAATCCCCAGGCCCCTTTACTTCTAAGATGGAAAACAAAAAACAACCAACCAACCAGATGGATGACATAAAGCAAAAACCTTCCCATTTTTAAGTAGGCTAGCCAGGAAAAGTTCAGATATACTTTTGCTTTTAAAAGCTGGACTCTGCTGTTGGTGAATACGCCAGTGTATGTTTACAAGTGGCCTAAGACTGTGGCACCATGTACTGGGCCTGTGGACCTGGAGGAAAAAAGGTCAACCAGGACTTCCCCTCCTACTTGTCTGATGGACTGCAACGGTCACCCGCGGGAAACAAGCTGCTGGTTTTGCATCTTTGGCCTCTGATAGAGAAGAAAGTGTCTTCCCTGCCTTTGCGGCTGCCATACTGGAATGAAGTGGCAGAAACAAAATCTGAACTAAGTCTGCTGGGAGACTAGTAAATCCCAGGAAGCTACATCTGGTTGGTCTGGTGGTTCATTTTCACAGCTTGAACCAGCTCATCCACAAAGATACCAAGGACATTGACTGAGAGGTGTTTACCTCAGCTTTCAAATCTTGGCTTATGACCTAGATAAAAACCATTTGCTACCAATACAAATAAAAGTTGTTAAGATTTTTTTTAAAAAACTATGGCTTTTAAAATACTATTGTTGAAAGCAATTCATACTCTTTGTGTTTTTTTTGTTTTGTTTTGTTTTTGGGTCCGGTCATGGGGCCTGAACTCTGGGCCTGGGCGCTGTCCCTCAGCTCTTCAGCTCAAGGCTAGCACTCTACGACTTGAGCTACAGCGCCACTTCTGGCTTTTTTTCTCTTTGCTTATGTGGTGCTGAGGAATCGAACCCAGGGCCTCAGGCATGCAAGGCAAGCGATCTACCACTGAGCCACCTTCCCAGCCTGTTTTGTTTTTTTTTTGTTGGTCGTGGAGCTTGAACTCTGGGCTTGGGCACTGTCCCTCAGGCTCTTCAGCTCAAGAGTAGCACTCTACCACTTGAGCCACAGCACCACTTCCGGGCTTCTGGTGTTTTATTGGCGATAAGAGTCTCATGGCTGGCTTTGAACTGGGATCCTCAGATCTCAGCTTGCTGAGTAGCTATAATTATAGGCCTGAGCCACTGGCACCTGGCTAGCAATTCATACTTTTGGAGGGATGCAATTTGAACCTTGGAGCCAAGAATGACTCTGGTGCTCTGCTTGGCGCCGCCCCCCAGAGCTACACTTCGGTCTGCCACTGAGCAAGCCCCGCCAGGCTCTGCAGCTGGTGTAAAGCACCCAACACTTACTGAGTCAATGAGCGTGTAGGGGCTCTCCACATCGCTGTCGTAAGAAGTGTACTGGGGCAGCTCCAACCTCACTGTGTAGTTCATTCCCTTCTCGAAGCACACTGGGCGAGGAAGGACCACATATCTACCCCCAAACAAGAGAGGAAAACAAGACATCAGCCCTTAAGTATGTGAACAACAAAAGCCCCAGGGTGGTTATTCTGTAAGGAGAGTCCACAGCCAATGTCTTGCTCTGTAGTGGTAACTAAGCAACTCAAGCCACACAAGGAAAAATCTTCATGTGCGTATGAGTTCTGTTGAGCTGCAGACCACGGTTACACTGACCTGGAGCCTGGTGATAAGGATACCACCTGGTTGTCATCATCCGGAACAGTGTTACCACACCGGCTGCTGGTTGGGATCTTCCCAGGCCGCTGTACAGTGATGACAGCTTTTTCCCAGTGGTCAGGAAGCTAGAGGAAGAAACAAACCATTGGAAAGGACCAACTGCATTAGCCACTGTGTCCTATCCAACTACAAAGACCTCTATGAATCAGTCACCTGCCAAGTTTTAATTGAAAACATACACAGTCGCTTTCCCATATCCTCTGCTCCTGCCTGGTTCCAGCCCTGATCCTTCCTTCCTTGGTGGCTGAAAACGGCTCTGTTCTTTCGGCTTCTTCCCAGTGTCCTTTTTCCATCCACTGTCAAGCAGCTCAAATGACCATCCTCAGCTTAAAATCCTTCAAGAGCTTCTGATGACTATTGGCTCCAGATTCCTTTTTACGGATCCTGGCAGTTTTCCTAAGGGCATCTTTCCAGCCATATCCCTCATTGTTCTCTACAAAACACTTCTCAAAAAAAGAACCCTCTGGCCCATCAGCTGCCCTGGACATTGATGAAAGTGAACTAAGCAACTCAAGGGCAGCGATGGAAGGGAGGGAATGAGAGAGAAAGGGGGAACAGCTTACACTAAGCAAAAAGAAAGAAATGTACATATCACCCGAGTTGGAAAAAACAGTTGTAATGTCAAAGTTCGTAGAGACCATAAGCCTTATAGACTTGACAACTACAATGTTGCTTCATGAGGGTTTAAAAGTATTCATGACTTTAAGTAAGTATCAGTATCCCACAATACTGTTAATTTTGTGGAATGTATGTAATCACTTAATCTCAATTTAAAAAAAAACCCTCCTCCTCTCTGCTCATGACATTCCTTTTTTCTTCTTTGTGCTGGGTCTTGTGGCACAAGCCTGTAATCCCTTGCACTCAGGAGGCTGAGGCAGGAGGATCCTGAGTTGGCCAGTCTGCACTACACAGTGAGATGCTGTCTCAATAATGACAAATCCAATCCACACTGTAAGACCGAGACCTGATTCTTGAAGCCACATCCTGACAGCTGCTGCTCAGGGGAACTGGTATGACCACTCTATCTTCAGGCACCATTTTCATCTGCGCTAGCAAGCCTACTGCTAACTCCAGGCTTTCCCTGCAATGAGGGAAATGTGCCTCCCACGGGGGAAGGATGGGACCTCAAACTGTCTCATCACCACCATCATCATTACTTAAATAGTTAAGTGCCTGATCAGAGACCGCTGAGTGTTATATAAACTTGATTCATGAAAGATACACATTCTTAACCTCCAAAGAGGAGGATACAATGGCAGAGGCCCACTTGGTTCAGTGTGATCCCTAGGTTTCACAGATCTAGGATAGACATAGCTGGTACCTATTCTACTAGTACCACCTCCACAAACACACAGCCCACTGAGGGTTTTCACCTGTGGCTCATAGCGAATTAGGATGTCATACTCCATGGAATATGGTATGTTGTCAATAAAAAACTCCAAATACGCCCCCTCGGGCACTCGGACAAAGCCGGCTCCCGTCCAGGAGGGAATCCGATCCTGGATGTATTGCCGCTGTACCACAGTGACCCCCTGCAGACAAATGAAACAGGAGTTACTCTCTACAAAATGGACTTCAATTACCTTTCACAGTCAAATCCAAAATCACCCAAGGATTCAAAGCTACAGCTATTATATATCTACTGCTACCATCACAAATTTGCCAACAGACTGTCAATAGTTTTTGATGGACATGTCCATTGGTTTAAGTTTTGTGGTTGATGATGCCTTGGGACACTGGAGACTGAAGTCAAAAACCTGTGATCTACTGTATATTAAAAAATAATAGCCAGGAACTGTTGTTTCAGACCTGTAATCCTAGCTACTCAGAAGACTGAGATTTGAGATCACAGTTCAAAGCCAGTCCAGGCAGGAAAGTCTGTGAGACTCTTATCTCCAATAAACCACTCAGGAAAAGCCCAAAGTGGTTCTGTGGCTCAAATGGTAGAGTATTAGTCTTGAGAAAAAAGAATCTCAGGGACAGCATCTAGACCCTGATTTCAAACTCCAGGACTAATATACACACATACACACACACATACACACACACAAACACACACACACACACAATTAGGGCTATAAACAGAAAGTAAAAACAAAAACAAGCATTCCAAATGCTATTCTTATCTGGGAAGGTGGCTCAGTGGTAGAGCGCTTGCCTTGCATGCCTGAGGCCCTGGGTTCGATTCCTCAGCACCACATAAGCAAAAAGAAAAAAGCCGGAAGTGGCGCTGTGGCTCAAGTGGTAGAGCACTAGCCTTGAGCTGAAGAGCTGAGGGACAGCGCCCAGGCCCAGAGTTCAGGCCCCACGACGGACCAAAAAAAAAAAAAAAAAGTCTAAGAGTGATGGAGGGTTTCTCTCATCCTTGATTGACAAGGCCAGACTAGCACCCAGTAGATACTTCTGCCTCTCACTGGTACTATTTTCAAGTTCCAAGTACAAGTCAAGAAATTTGATAGTGTGATGATTGCTCATTACTGATGAGTCAATTCTGACTGTTCACAGGGTTATTCTATAGTATTGGTCATCTCCATACATGACTGCTACCAATTCTCCCCTTCCCTCTATCTGTGGGCACGTTTACTCACTAAGATGTACAACCTATGTTATCCTTCTCATGAACTAGGCTAGTTTGGTGACTTTTAACAAACAGAATGTCATGAAATGATATTCTGGGACTCCTTGGGCCAAGTTTTAAGAGATCTGATAGATTCTGTTTCCTCTTCTTGGAAGCCAAATGCTAGATAATGAAGTCCTACTATCTTGACTCTGCCACGCTGTGAGAAAGCTAAATAGACCAGCATAGAAAAGTTGTGTAGAAATGTCCAAATCACTCAGGTTGTTTCAGCCACGCTGGCTGCAATTGTCAGGTACATACTTTAAGTCACTAAATTTTGGGATGATAAATGAAACAAAGTTAAGTGTACATGGTATCAGATCTACAGTAACTCTGGAGCCCAAGTAGAGAAAGAATGAAAACCTTTTCTGGCAGAAACAAATTCTTAAAACACATCAACTAATAAGGGTGTCTGTGAGTGATAGAGTGAGCTTTACATATGACTGATTTCAAAAAGTATGTCACCCAGTGTAAAAGGGGGATTGTTTGGGCATGGGGGTGGCAAAAGAGAGGGTGATCATACACATGCATAAAAATAGTAATGCAATTGAGTAAAAGCAAGAGAGAGGGACAAAGAAGAGAAATAGAGGGAGTGAATTAGATCAAATGCATTATATGCATGTATGGAAAATAGCACAAGGAAACTCTTTTATATAGTTAATTAAAAAAAACAGACATATCATACCATACTTTGATTTTGTGATGACAGAAATGCTGCCTATATAGCTATATGGCCTCCTTATAAAGCATGCATGTGTCCTTACTGCCTTCCGGATCTGCTTTCCCAACCTACCACATGCTCCCATACTTACCGGCCCCAGGTGGCCTTCCTCGGCTTCATAGATGTAGTGGTCCAAGGTGGTAAAATAATAGCCAGACTCCACCTCATTGCACTGCCGTCCGATCATGTGAGGCCGACAGGAACACTGGCCTGACTCCGGGGAGCAGCTACAGGAGGAGGGACAGGTTACATCACTGGCTTACCCTATCACACATGAGCCCAAATGGAAGCAGGTCTGTGTTTGTCATCAAGCATCACGGGAGGTAAAATGTGTCGGTAGAGTTTATTCATTTCCTCTATGTGGAAAAAAATGGTACCTGGGCATGCATCTCAAACCTTGGCATGCAGACAGATCTGAGCATGATACTGAGACCTCTCTGTGACCTGGTCTTTCCAACTTTACCTAGCCTCTCCCTCTCTTCATTTACATTCCATACACACCATGTGGAAATTTTCTGTAGACATCACAAACAAAATCTTGTTTTGGGGGTAGATAGATACGTATATATAGATATATCTTTATTTCCAACTAACTATAACTCTTTTTCTGGCCCTCGAACCCAAATACCCAACTTTCTGAAGGACATCTCTATCTTGACTGCCCCAGAGGCACCCAAAGCAATGGATCCAAAATGGTGGCACTCAGCCTTTTCCATGTTCTTTATTTACCAAGTAAGAAATATTACATGTGCTCTAATTCTGTATTCACAACAAACAGGAACCAGCTTCTGCCACAAACATTCCCTAGTAAGTCATTTCCTAGCCACCATCCTCTATCCTATAAAATGAACCTTCTTTAAGCTACTGCCTCCTTGAGAGTAAAATGACATCTCTTTTGTATGCATATCATCTACAACAAAGCTTGTCACACCACAGGTATTCATTTAAGTGGAGACCCTGAGTCTTCAAATCCTGCTTAGGTTCCAGAACTTGGCTTCACTCCACTTCCTTTTGTCAAGTCTTGTACTGTTCTCTCCTTCTCCTACTGTCAAGCAGTGCCTTCTGCTGCTCATTACCTACGGGGATGTTGATGTGTTTGCTTTCTCCTTTACATCCTATTACTGACAGATCTCTGACCCTAGTACACTGCAAAGTCCTCGAAGGTCTGAACTGAGCCTTCCATGCCTCAATTTCCCCACCGTTTTCTCACTGCTCTGTCCACAGAGTAGTCTCAGTTGATCAAGTAAATGCATGAAGGGTAAGCCTTATGAATATAAATTTAGATAAAAAAGCGGTACAATATAATCAGCTCTATTTCTTTTTACTTTAGGGAACAAAGAATAAGATATATTAGTTTGTTCTCAGCTTTTCTTTCCCTTTGTCTTTTATGTATGAGGTAAGAATCCAAATCACACGCCACTATTTGATTTCATTAAAAGTGGACAGTGTTCAAAAAGAAATGTACTCATTACCTGATTCGTGTAATTGTGACTCCTACGTACAACACCTTTACAATAACGATCATTTTTCAAAGGAAAGTCAAACTGTGGTTTGGAATTGTTACTTTAAACCTACTCCCAAAGTCCCACCCTCCTCCCTGTTCCCTCCCCCCTCCCCCAGTCAGTTGCAACTCACAGGCTGACTTAAACATCTCTGACATGGTCCAGTGGACACCCCTTCCTGGATATCATAGCAGTATCCTGCTGAAACAGGACTTCTTGACACCCATGACTGACTCTGGGGAGAAGCAAGCCTGTTCCAACTAGGAGCAGCCCTCTCTTGGCACAGACACCAGCAGCAGCCATGTCCAGAAACTCAAGCCATCTGGCATCACATGGACAAAAAAAAAATCCTTTCCTCCCCACATGTTTACAGGGGGAACTGAGTCCCAAAGAAGAACCACAAGGAGGAAAACAACTAGCTCCTTGGGGAGCAATCATCAGAACAAGTAAGGAAGGTGGGATGAAGCCAGTGGGTAGATTCAAAGGCAACTCCTCCATACATCTCCAGGAGAGGCCCTACTGACCATACAGGGAAGTTGCTTCACATGCCTCTCTGGTCTCTAGTCTGTGATGCTGTGGCAGACTCAAATTGTCATCCCTGATAAGCAGGACTCCTAGCCCACTCTGACTGCCCTGTGAACACTTTGCGGCTTTATGAGCCCTTGTGCAGATGAGCCTCACGCCTGCAGCTACACACCCCTGCCTCTGCTGGGTTTATTTCCCAATTTCCAGACCCCAATGGGAAAAATCCATGGCTTGTCCAGCTGTGCTGTCTAACGCATCCTGTCTCAAACGGTCACCTTTCACCCTAATTTCTCATCCTCAGCTCTGCTGTTTCTTTCAGCCGATTTTAAATTCTTCTCAGGGTGGAGATGAGGACATAACCTTTTGCTTCCTTTATCCCAATATACAAGTCTTATTTCAAAATCTGTCTCCACTGAGCTGCCTCTTCTTCTTGTCACTGCCACTATCTCAGTTCTGGATGTCACTGTCCTAAGCCTGTTACTTCAGCAGAGTCCCAGATTGACTTGAGCTCAGCTCTCTCTTCCACCCCAAGGCTATGCTGCCCACCACCTCTCAACCCACCTTCCTGCAGCACTGCAGTCATGGTACCACCAGAATCACGGCTGTTACTCTGCGTCTTTTTCTATCTCAGGGCCACTGCCCAGCTCTACAACGCAGTTTCCCTCCCTGGAGCCACACTTCTCACACTCCTCAGCCAATATTGACTGAGCAAACATTGGCCCTGGAACCTGTGCTTCCTGCACCAATTCAGGCCACCACCAACTTCCTCCTGAACCGATTCTTCCACTTTTGTGGGAAGAATGTTTTTTTCTGGCTAAATGATATGAAGAACAAATAGGAAGTACTTGTTCTAAAGAACTCACAATCTGACTGAAGGAGAAGCAATGGAAGAATTAGCCAATACAAAATACGGTGGGTACTTAAATAGAACCAAGAGCAAAGCACTCTAGAGATAGAGGAAGACGCAATCCATCTGATTGAGGAAACTAGATGAGCCTTTATGAAAGAAGCAGCCTGAAGCCTGAGGATTCTGGTGGGCAGAGAGAGGTCAGGTAGGGTAAGAACAGAGGTTCAGGCCAGACCTTCACCGGGCCTCACCCGTTCCTTGAACAGTTCTTCCTCGCAGTGGAATGCCCTGCTCTACTCACACATGACCGTGTCTTTCAAGTTTCACTCAGGTTTCCCAGCTCCACCACAATAAGACAAAAAGACTTTATTTGTGTTATTCTTTACTGAGTTCAAATTAAAAACAAATTCGTATTTCAAAGAAATGATATACGGTGTAATTTTATATGTTCTTCTACAAGTTTCCCTACCAAGTAAACACAGATCTAATTTACTAAATCAGTGAGACAGTATAATGACAAAAGACAAAAAAAAAAAAAAGATAAACCCTTGCAGTAAGCACAATATTAGATCTCAAGCTATCTAAATCCTCATCTCTGCAATCTGTAAATACACAATTTCATGTGGCAGAAGAGACTACAGATATGGTTAAGATTAAAAATCCTGAAATGAAATTATCATGAGTTGTCTGGTAGAGTCAATTTAATCATGAGTTCTTAAAAAGTGAGAGAGTTAGGCAGAAAAGTGGGTCAGAAGCTGTTACATAAAGAGGTTTTGATCCACCATGGCAGCTTTTAAGATGGGGGAGGGGCCCACAAACCAAGAAGAGCAGGCCACTTGTATAGAGTAGGAATAGCCTTCCCCTGTCAGTCACAGCAGGGAAATGGAAAGCTCATCCTACAATTGCAAGAACCTGGATTCTACCCACAAAACCCAAATAAGCAGGAAACAGATTTGCCTTTACAGCGTTTAGAAAGCAATACAGGCTTATCAATACTCTGACTTTAATCCATGGAGATACCAAACTAAGATGAGTCTCTTTTTTTAAGTCATTTAAGTATGGTGATTGGTTATTGCAGTAGTACAAATTTTCATAGGCCTTTGGGTTTTCCTAATAGGTCATGACCAAAGTTATGCCTTAAAACCACAGATTTCTCACATACAGAAATGAACAACATTTGCATTCCATCATAGCAACTAACAGAGGATAAGATAAACTACAACCATTCAATACACTGCTGACAACATCTACTGACTTCTGTTCTTGCTGCCAAGTCAGTAAGTTTCAGTCCCTCATTTATGAAGCAGCTATAGTCACATGAGCCAGAGATCAAGGGAGATATAAAAAAATGCCTAAGACACAATCCCTAACTACAAAGTCCCTTTTAATACAAACAAAAGCAATCAAGGCCGAATTAACTAAAGCTAAAAGAAATGCAGCAGTAGCATTTTGCTAAAGCATCAAGACAGGTCTGAGAACTTCAGGGTAGGAAGTACAAGTTCTCCCAAAAGGTGGTGGGTGGGAAGTCAGACAGGAGGCTGCTAAACTTAACTGATGAAGTAAGTTCTGAAGGAGAGTGTAAAGATGCTCCAAGTGTTTGATGTTTCTAAACTTGTATAAGTACTGTTACTAAGCAACCATTGTCACAGAGTCTTTGTTCATCTAAGTAGGCAATCAAGGCAAAAATTCATTAACCTGGTTTGGTGACATTAAACTATGAAGTCTGCTGAAAATAGTCAATAATTCAGATTATGTGTCAACATATGACAGGAATTGCTAAGGTTTTTCTGTACAACCCAAAACATAATCAGTTTATTAAAAATGTATTGCTTTATTTTGTGACACTGAGAATTGAACTCAAGGCCTTGAGCTTGGTAGTGTTCTACCTATTTTGTTTTGGGTTTTCTGTTTTTTTCCCTACTACTGGGGTTGCAAACTCTGGGCTTCATACTTGTGGACAAGACGGTCTATCACTTGAGCCTCCAACCTTCTGTGAACTGGTTATTCTTGAGATAGGGTCTCACTTTTATTCTAAACCATAATTCTTTTTAAATCTCCTGCCATCATTGGGTGACAGGTTGGCACCACTGTGTACAATTACTGATTGAGATGGAGTCTTTGTGAGCTTTTTTTGTCCAGGCTAGCCTAAAACTTAGTTCTCCTGATTTCTGCCTTCCAAATAGCTTAGGAGTACAGGTACTGAGCACCAGCATCCAGCTCAAGCTTGGTTTTGACAGCATCTCCCACTTTCGCCCACACTGGCTTCAAATTATGACCTTCCAACCACTGCTTCCTCAATACTGGGTACTACAGGCAGGAACTATACAACACCCAGCCATGCGAAATGTTTTAAAATATTTTTCACTTCAAGTGACTCTTACCTTTCATTCTGCCCCTGGCCAGAATAACTAAGAAGTGTTTTGGATCATATTAATAGATTGCTTCACCTCACAAGTGCCTATTTAGTTACTACACCTTAAGAATCTTTTGCCTCTCAAATTCTTTTTACTCAATCAATATTCACCATGTCATGATTTATTATGTGACTCAGGCAAAGCGAATACCCTCAGGTAAAAGGTGTTTATGGGTGCTTGCAACAATCCATCCTCTTGCAAGGATTTGCAGAGTATCACTGATATGTCATAGTCTTCTGGTAGAGATACAGTCTCCTAAAAGAGACTGGGCCCAAGAGACTCCTGGGGACATTCCCCTTGGTGAAACACTGTTGAAAAGGAATGTCACAGGATGCTACAGTCACAGGATTGGAAGGTAAGCTCTTTCTCCTCACCAAGGATAGAGCATCTTGTGCTGAAACAATCAGATGACTACTCGTTTTAAAATCTTTACTAAACCCTTTTACTTCACAAACTCTTTTGATGAACATATTCCGGGTTTTGTAAATTTTGCCAGATTAGAAGGCCAGCCAGGGGCTGTGAGTGGGTGGAGGTTGAAACAGGAAATATGTGTGGGACAGAGAAGAGGAGGCAAGGAGTGTGGGAAAGAGAAGCCGCTTAGGGTAAAGGAGCACTCAACATTTCTGGTGACTGAACTGACTACTCCTGATGGGAACATTCCGGAGCCTAGGACATAATTTGGGGAATTATGTTTGCTGTTTTCATGTGAGCAAGGAGTAGGGGGAGACAGCTGCAAATGGGCAATCTGAGAATCACCGAGCGCTCTGGCAGTCTCAGAGAAGAGTCAGGAAAGAGAGGTTCCATAAACACACAGCACCATGTTTATTCCCTGCTTTTATGGACTTATCCTAGCTGCCTCCTTCAGCAGTTTTCTAAGAACAGAAATTCTCTCTGGAGTCTCAGAGGCTACAGGCTGTACTGAGTCTCCAGCACAATCTGGAACAGGACAAACCCAAACAAAGAGGCCAAAGAGAACATGTTCATGTGTCCTAAAATCTCATTCCATCCCAGCACATCACTATGGGGTTGGGAAATACTTCTTTTTGTAAGAGCTGATCTCTGAGCACACCAAGCTTGCTCAATAAACTCAGCATGTTCTCTGAGGGAAGATTGGGAATGACAAGAACACATCTGCCGGGGCTCTCCGCAGTCACTTACACTGTCTTTACCAGATGTTCTGACTCAGATCCAGTGATGGAGACCAGAGGGCTCCCAGACCCAAGATGGATAAACTCCCACAACCCGAGCCATCTTCCCAACATATATTATGACAATTTTGAGTTGAGTTTCATGTTTCACCTATTTAGGGAACACTAGCATCTTTAAGTAATTAAAAATGATGATATGTAACTTTTATTAATGGACACAAGTTGCAAAAACAGAAAGAAAAGAAAGAGAAAAGACTCTCTACACAAATCAAAATGAAAATCTGTTTCCAATCTGTTGGACTGGTTAAAAAAACAAAAAAAGAAACGTGTGATGAGACCAGCTGTTTCTGGCCATGGTAAACTGAGAATCTGTATAACCCTGGTGGGACAATCTACTGACACAATCTGAGACTTGGACGTGTTCTATTGAAATAAATGGTGTGCACACATGGACTTTGACTTAGCAGTTCCCTGTGGATAACCTGGTCTACAGAGATACTGACAGACATTCATCAAGATATAGCTACAGGGGCTGGGAAGGTGGCTCAGTGGTAGAGCGCTTGCCTTGCATGCATTGAGGCCCTGGGTTCAATTCCTCAGCACCACATAAGCAAAAAGAAAAAAGCCGGAAGTGGCGCTGTGGCTCAAGTGGTAGAGTGCTAGCCTTG